TATTAAGAGTATAAGTTAACACAAACTCACCAGAAAAGGCTTGTGATAATGAAAATTAATCAAACACATGGTTAGCAAAGTTAGAGACATCAGACAATTAGTGTTCAATGATTTTAGTGATATATAATGAATACCTTTTTTCAAGGCGTGGTTCATTATCTCTTGTAGTTCGTTAGCATCCACTTCCATGTCTTCGCCTTTTAATAAATAAAGTTTATAAACTCGATGGTATAAAATGTATCAAGAGTTGACATACCGGCCAATTTGGCAAAGAATGTATTGATTTGAGACTCAGCTTCTTTGGCGCGATTTTGGGCCACATTTTCAGTCTTTAAAAATATAATTCAAATAAATTTTACTTTTAATAAATGAATCGTTTAAATAGCAGACTATTATCTACTGTACTATTAGCAGCAAATGTTATAAGTTAGCAATTATTGTTAATACATTTTAACTACAAATACAACACTTTTGCAAATGAAAAATCAAACGCAAAGGCATCCCATTATTGAATAAAACGATGAAATCATTTCATGCAGTTTTCATGCAATTAGTCAAACCATTAGTAAGAGATTATGAAGAATTGGGAAATAAAAGAATTGCAACAGAAATCAAACAAAACGAACCACTTCTCGGTTATTGCAAAGAGTCCAACACTGCGATAGGATATTAATAACTGACAAAATTGTATGAATCAGATCAACATTATTGTCATTGTTTGCAACATTATTATCTGTCGGTTCAGACTCTTTTGGCTCATTATCTGCCACCAAATTGTCGGAAATCTAGTAATTAAGTCAATTGAGAACCAAATCCAATGTTTCGGTTAAAACAAATTAACATATATTTTAAAATGGGAATAACTTTTATACTGTATATTAATAGTATTAACACATTCATCAAATTAATACAACATTTATACAACAAATCAATGGTTGAATAATATAGAAATTGAAAAATCCTTGTTTTAATGGACTGAATACATACTCCATTGGTTTTGCCCGAATCCTTATCAACTAAACCTATTTCCTCGTCATTTTCCTCTACACTTTGAGGCGGTTTTTCAGTGAAGAATCGGATTAAGAACTCTCCCTCTTCTCCCGGATCAAAAGTCGATGGGATTATACAGTATTTGCCTGAAATGAATATAAAATTTTAATTAGAGCTCAAGACTTTACACATTTGCCAATAATTCAAACCTGGTTTGAGTCGAAATCTTCCACTAATTTCCCTGAGATTGACGAAAGTGGGCGATCGGGCGACCGATTGGTTGTATTTGAAGTATTCTGTTGTCAATAATTGGCATTGTTTGCGAATAAATCTGACAAATGAATCATTTTTAAAGTTAAACACAAAGATATTAAACATTGAAATTGAAACAAACTTGGACTCGTATTTTGGTCCGCCGTCTGTTACGGTGTGTCCATCTTTAACCTCATAAATGGCAAACCCGATGGTAAGGCTGTCGGAACCCATTTTTCTTTTCAACCGATGATTCTTCTGCATAAGAGCCACAACACACGTGCCTTCAAGACNAAGAATTGGGAAATAAAAGAATTGCAACAGAAATCAAACAAAACGAACCACTTCTCGGTTATTGCAAAGAGTCCAACACTGCGATAGGATATTAATAACTGACAAAATTGTATGAATCAGATCAACATTATTGTCATTGTTTGCAACATTATTATCTGTCGGTTCAGACTCTTTTGGCTCATTATCTGCCACCAAATTGTCGGAAATCTAGTAATTAAGTCAATTGAGAACCAAATCCAATGTTTCGGTTAAAACAAATTAACATATATTTTAAAATGGGAATAACTTTTATACTGTATATTAATAGTATTAACACATTCATCAAATTAATACAACATTTATACAACAAATCAATGGTTGAATAATATAGAAATTGAAAAATCCTTGTTTTAATGGACTGAATACATACTCCATTGGTTTTGCCCGAATCCTTATCAACTAAACCTATTTCCTCGTCATTTTCCTCTACACTTTGAGGCGGTTTTTCAGTGAAGAATCGGATTAAGAACTCTCCCTCTTCACCCGGATCAAAAGTCGATGGGATTATACAGTATTTGCCTGAAATGAATATAAAATTTTAATTAGAGCTCAAGACTTCACACATTTGCCAATAATTCAAACCTGGTTTGAGTCGAAATCTTCCGCTAATTTCCCTGAGATTGACGAAAGTAGGCGATCGGGCGACCGATTGGTTGTATTTGAAGTATTCTGTTGTCAATAATTGGCATTGTTTGCGAATAAATCTGAAAAATGAATCATTTTTAAAGTTAAACACAAAGATATTAAACATTGAAATTGAAACAAACTTGGACTCGTATTTTGGTCCGCCATCTGTTACGGTGTGTCCATCTTTAACCTCATAAATGGCAAACCCGATGGTAAGGCTGTCGGAACCCATTTTTCTTTTCAACCGATGATTCTTCTGCATAAGAGCCACAACACACGTGCCTTCAAGACAACAAAGTATTAGACAAATAAAATATTTAGAAGTATTCAATACAATAGTCTTCGTCATCGTCTTCGTCGATATCAACCAAAGAAATCAAATATTGAGGGTTCAGATGAAAAGTTTGCAAATTGTTTCGACAGCCACCGGCGCTTATCTGTTGTAGTAATAATTATTATATAAATGCCATAATTTCCTATAAATTTAATCACTAATCACTTACGCCTCGAACCCATGAGCCCTCAAAATACGACACTTCCCACCGACGCTTATTGTCTGCAAATAAAGTATTGATTACCAAAATACCGGTTATCAAAGAATTATCACAAAAAATCAAACCTTCGTCGAGAGAATCGGGCGATAGGTTGCAGATCTCAAGTCGTGTGAAATTGTTTTTAAAATCCGTAAAAGACATCCAAAACTCTCCGTCCGCATCAAAAGTAAGGCCCAACTGCTGTTTTTCGCGCTCAGGAACTACAGTCCATTCCCGCGATCTTTTTTGGTAGAAAACCATTAATTAGATGAGATTTAAAGTTTGACATTAGATAAGACATACTTATCACTCCAGGCGCCCTTCCATTCGGCTTCATTACCCCAGGGGTTTCTCACCCGAATCAGTGGTATCTTCCCTTTGACTTTGGCTGTACTTAATTGCACTAACTTTATGGCAGTCACTGAATAGGCGTGTCCTCTAATAAGACCTGTTTATATAATCGAAATTATTAATTCAATGAATCTATTGGGTGTCCAAACCATACCGTTAGACATTTCTGCCTCCATTTGTGAGGAATCGAGTGCTTCTATGGAACAGCCGAGGAATGACGAGCGCTCGAAGGCCTTCAACATTATATTCAACAGATTTGGCGGACATTCGTTGGACTGGAGCTCAAAATTCTCAGTCAAACCACCTTTGAATCAATTGATCACTTTATTATGAATAATTGGAAAACTAAGACCAATTATACCGGTAAAGTCTTCCATCGCCTCACTAGTTGTCCCGCCTTTAAGCGCTTCATAAGAGCCGTGAAGTCTATGAAAATGATATAACAAGTGATTTATTATCAAATTAACAAATCTATGATCAAATCAAATGATGTCATACTTAGCATATGCCTTTTCAATCAAAGCGCTCCAAAACTCGTGCCTATCTTTGGAGTGCATAAGCATTAAGTGTCCGTTAGTTGTGGGCAGTCTGTCGTCCACCACAACGTCAACCCATCGCCCGTATTGCCAGAAACGGAAATGAAATATCCCTGAAGTAGACACCAATTAATAACTATAATTGAAACACATTATGAATAGGACTGACCCGCATATTCTGGTTTATCAAATGTTTGGTCGTGCGGTACAACCCGTTGGAAGAGCTTGTCGTTTAGAGTGAGATTAGCGACGGCTATAATACAGGTTTCATGAGTTACTGGATATCATTTGATAGGATTGTCTAATTGCATACCGGCTAAGAGCCAACAGTTTCCAAGTTCTCCCTGCATAACATCAAATCGTTGAGCGCCTGTATTTATGATTAAATAATGTATCATGGTATCATGGTATCAAATAATGGCAATATTAGTGGGTTTTATGTGTGACTGACCATCACTGATAAACATAGGTCTATCGGACAGTTGGTGGGGTCGGAGCCACTCGAAAGAGCGTCGACCCTTTCCCGGAGCGAAATAAAACGACGATTCGTTGGCCGGGAAGGAGTCGTCCTCGAAGAGCACACCATCTCTTAAGCACTTGTCTCTGATCTCATGAAAGTCCTGTACTTTTCCGGGAATATTAATTCCGGACTTTTTCTCTCCTAACTGTCAATAAATTGAAGGTTAAAAACAATACTGTATTTTGAATTATTTTAAATAACTTAATAATAAAAACATATTATGTAATAAAATAAATTAAGTAATTAAGTAGTAGTTATTTTAGCAAATATTTGTACAGAAATGACATAACAAACGCATAACAAGTGAGTAATATGTAATTTTAAACATTTATTTACTCTAAAGTAATTGCGATGAGAATTCATTACAATATAATGATTATATTGTATTATATTATATTATAATCACAATTTAGTTAAACACAGAAATGAGTGAAAACTTGAAAGAGTGAAAAACAATTCTTGACTCTCAGACATATAGTGTAATAAAAAGAAGTATATGATATAAGTATATGATATAAGTATGAAGTATATGAAGTATATGATATAAGTATATATTATATATTATGATAAACTATTTCAAAGAAAGTATAATTAAATGTTGGAAAATTATTTATTTTGAAATAGGAAATTACTTGTTTTATCTTAAAAAGTGAATCAAATGTGTCGGTCATAATTGTAAAACTACAAATTATGACAAATATGATACAATATTTTTTAAACGTCTGCAAAACAGTTTAATGGGTCTAATGATTAAAACAGTTTTAGTATAAATGATATGTTTGAAACAGATGTCATTCATTGAAGTTTTGTATAAAACAAACAAATTTTTATTTTATGATTGAAAATCAAGAATATATAATAATAATACATTGTGTTTGCCTTTCACTCAAAACAAATCAGTATCTAATCTATAATTATATAATTGATTTAATTTGTGACTTATGTATAATGTTGGGTGTTTCCAAAGTTATTCATGCATCATATCAATAGATCTTAATACCTTTATTGATTGAACTTGATCATTTAGAAAAAGGTACTTAATTATATTACTTATATATTTAAAAATATAAAGTAAAAATTCAAATTGAGTTAACATTAGTATACCTTATAGAAGACGGGTTCAGACATTGTCTCGATATTACAATTAGTGAATTGATTGACAATTTTATAATTATATGTGTTATTAGATTATAAGCCAAACCACTGCCAGAACTTTGTTTCTAATATTAATGGGAATTAGTATTACATTCGTATCGACCGTCTATTCATCCAATCGTC